ACAGAGATGGGAGGTTGCATTAGATGACCGCTCAGCTCCCTTTTAATTCTTGCATTTCATGGCCCTATAACACAATTCAGAGGAATCATTCTGATAAAGCTGTTTTAATGTTTTCCAAAGTATAGTCACTTCCTGTGGGTTTTAGGACAGTTCTTAGAAAAAGTTATGTCTGTGTATGTGTGTGTGTTCTTAAGTATTTTAAATTAAGCATTTATGGTGCCAAGGTTTGCAGAGACTACTTGCTAGCCTAAACATGTTTGCACACAGCAGTATTTTCTAATTTAAATTCAATCATAATCTCCAAACAGCCCTAGCCTAGACTAGCGGAAGGTATAAACTTCATTTTCATCTCATTAGGCCACCTGGAAGCTGCAATCAGTGAGTAGTCTTGACGTCAATAGTCTGCCTGCTTCATTAAAATGATAATTTCATGGCTTTAATTCCCTTTGTAAAATGTACCACTGTAGGACTCTATATGCAGATTTATTCAAAACTAGACCAGTTTACATGTCGCATTTTAGTGTATTTATTTCTCCAGATTTCTCAGTGTATTGCTATTCTTAGGAATTGCTTTGGCTTTTAAAAAGTGTTCAAATACCTACAATATTTAGATATTTAAGGCAATTTCAGCCTAGTAAAATTTATTTTAAAATAATTCTGGGGCGCCTGGGTGGCTCAGTTGGTTAAGCGACTGCCTTCGGCTCAGGTCATGATCCTGGAGTCCCGGGATCGAGTCCCGCATCGGGCTCCCTGCTCGGCAGGGAGCCTGCTTCTCCCTCTGACCCTCCCCCCTCTCATGTGCTCTCTCTCTCTCTCTCATTCTCTGTCTCAAATGAATAAATAAAATCTTTAAAAAAAAATAATAATAATTCTGAAAGCGGTTTTATCAGTGACCTAATTCCTACTTTGAGTGAAATATGCCTCCCCTTTTTCCCCTATAGTTCTGAAGCTCCACATTTTTTTTTTTTTTAAGATTTATTTATTTTCGGGGGCGGGGGGGTAGGGAGCAGAGGGAGAGGGAGAGAGATTCTTAAGCAGACTCTGCCTGAGCACAGAGCCTGACCCGAGTTCACAACCTGAGCTGAAACCTAGAGTCAGTTGGTTTACTGACCTTTAGAGAAAGGTGCAGTAGCAGTTTTAGTGAGTGATCAGAATGAATTTAGATCGTTCCGGAAATTGATGAACAAAATCTTTTATGTCATGTGAAGTCCTCTAAATTACTTTTTATGTTTTGAAAGTGCCATAAACGTTTAAACACCAAGTTCACGTTTGGTCAGAATCTTGAATTCTGACTGATTCACCACCAAAGGAGATTAATCAAAAGAGATAACCTAGGGGCAGCTGGGTGGCTCAGTCAGCTGGGCAGCTCAGTCAGCTGGGCTCTGCCTTCAGCTCAGGTCATGATCCCGGGGTCATCAGGCTCCCCACTCAGCAGGTTGTCTGCTCCTCCTTCCTCTGCCCCTCCCCCCTACTTGAGTGCTTGCTCTCGCTCTCCTTCTCAAATGAATTAAAAAAAAAAAAAAAAAAAGAGAAAACCTAGAATCCACTGCTGCCCTGACACAAACTAAGGCTCTCCCAATCAGTGCCCCTAAACCAGTTACAGCCTAGACCCTGAGGGTACCTTGGACCTTTCTTTCACCTACTTGCCAGTACCTTTACGTTTTGCTGATTTTCCTCATAACAGTTTTATCCTTTTAGCCCTCTTTTGCTGTTTCCTTTTCCTTTTCTGGTCTCCAGTGGAAAAACCATTCACCAAAGTTTTGTCCACTTTGGCTCTTCTCTCATTGTAGTTTCTCCCTTAGAATATACCTCATGCTTGTGACTACCACCATTATCTGTTAGCTAACAATTTCCAAATTTATACTTCTGGCTAACTGGTCTCCTGCGTCTGACTTACCTGTGTCTCCAGTAAGTGGATTGGATAGTTTTGTTTAGATATGTCACTATCACAAGATATGTCTAATGCCAAACTCATTTTTTTTCCCATTTTCATTTCTCTTCAACAGTGCCACCATTCTTATATCCTCTCAAGCTAGAAATGTTCTAGGAGGTGGCCCACAAAGATTTAATGTAGAAAAGCAAAGACTTGTTCATCTGTTCCTTTTGAGGAATGCCAAAAATTTGTCTTGTTGAAGGCCAGTTGAATAGAATTAAGTTCTTCTCAGCCCAAGCGTACCCATGAGTATCAATTCCATTAATAATGACCCAGTGAAATTATAGTTAGTCCTCAGTCAGGCACCCTCAACTTCCACCACGGCCACCATGCAGAGATTCATGGTGCTTGTCATTAGACATGGAGGATAGAGATTTAATTTGATCAAGAGTTTCTAAGTCATTTGAAGTTTTAATTAAAATGGACAAAATTCCCAGAGGGTCCTGAAATTACACGGTTTTCAAGCATCATAAGATGAAGGATGGCCCAAAGCATCAGTCCAGAGCTATTGGCTACTTACTGGCTATAAACAGATCTCCCCTAGTTACTTTCTAAAATAGGAGTTTAGTAAGTGACATTCCACTCTGTTTCTTGGATGAGGGTCTCATGCAACTCTTTTCTCAGTACGTGACTGAGGATCAAATACAACTGGGTTTATAATACAGATTCAGTAAGAAGAGTGAGTATACCCAATTTTCTGGTCCATCTGACATCATTATCAGTGATTATCCCAGATGACTGGGACATACAAGTCATGAATTTAAAGCCATTATTTTAAGATATAATTTAACTTCTCTCACTGATACTTCAATGAAAATGAAGTTAAGACTGAGACAGTTTTATTAGACCAATTATAAGTTATCCATTCATTCAACAAATACTTATTGAATGTCTAAAATGAGATAGCATTGAACTAAGTGATATATGACATCTAAAGGCATTATAATATTCAGACATTACTCTTGAGGAACCTATACAATTTAGTAAAATTCCTGATTGAGTTGGTGAGTTTAAAAAAAAACCCCAAAAAACTGAGATTAAAAGCTTCCTGCTTCCATATGGTTCAGTGATGAATATAGTATCCAGTTCCATCCATGTCGATGCAAATGGTGGGTATTCATCCTTTCTGATGGCTGAGTAATGTTCCATTTTATATGTGGACCACATCTTCTTTATCCATTCATCTGTTGAAGAGCTACTTTTAAGCCATTCTGAACACTAATAGGATCAGGAATGATGTTTTCTTAGCCCCTCCCCACCCTAGAACAGGGACAGCTTAGTTTGACTTTGAAATGAACTTTGACCTTGCAACTTAGGGCATGATCCCCCCCCACCACACACAGCCTCTAAAAGCTGTACCCGCAGCAGTATATGAGGCAAATAAATAGCCTTACAGTGACTGAACTGTTTTTCTAGACTGACAAATATACCAGAGCCTAAGTTTAGCCTTCATTTTAAATGTGCAAGCTAGTGTTTCTGAGGGAGTCTTATTGAATGTACTTGTTATCTAGTTGGTTTGCCTGACTTTCTCAGTGTGGGCAGTAGTTTTGTACCTATATACCTGTGGTTTAGAAAGGTGGAGGCTACGTCTGGGAGGGTCTTGGAGTGAGTCAAGTCAGAGAGACCTGAAGTCATACTGTGACCATAGCTGAGCCAGCTGTAACACAACTACAAGAGAGTAGCTCTAGTTGCTAGGTCTGCAGAGAGAAAAGGAAATGTTGGCCCAAGAGTCACTGATAGATTTTCATGAGAATGATGGATGGTAGTATAGCACCATAAAGATAAAACTATAGACCGAGATAAATGATCCACAAGAGAATATTCATTTATATGGTCACCCTCCTCACTTAAAAACTTTTAGTTTTCTCTTTCAGGCTGGATATAAAAGATAATATGAATAAATCTCCTTTTAGTAAAGTAACAAGTACTCCAAGCAAAGTAAATTCACTGAAATAAAAGCTAACCCTGGTTCACCCTAGGAATGTGATAGACTGTACCATTTCTCAGTTTATTACAGGTCAATGAAGGAAGCATTTAAAAATTTACATGTGAGCCCATTATTCTTTCAAGTTGAATTAGGTATTCATAATCATACCTAGAAGAGTAATGGAAACTTTGCCATTTCAGTACCGCATGCAAGAAAGCATACCATAGCCCTGTCCTTTTCCATTGGACACATTCTCAATTAGAACAGTGTGTTTTTTCTGCTGTGGGTAAATGTTGATTAATTGATGTTTTGTTTGTAATAGGTTTCAGAAATGGAAAGAATTTCAGTTATATTTGCAGTGTAATAAAATTAAGATATTTAAGTTTATTTAAAGGGCTTTTGCTGCCAAACTTAACATTTTAAGAGACTTTTAAAAAGATAATGTAAAGACCAATTGTATTCTTTCAGATTTTAAAACCTGTGCTTATTGAGAATAGCAAAGTACAATTTTGGGGCCTTCACTCCAGTCCTTTTATGCAGTGGAAAACACTACCGCTGGGAGGCAGGAAACCAGGCTTCTAAGTGTAGTTCTTTTAAGATTTTTTATTCATTCATTTGAGAGAGACATCGAGGGAGACCATGAGCAGGGGGGAGGGTCAGAGGGAGAGGGAGAAGCAGACTTCCCTCTCAGCAGGGAGCCCAACACAGGACTCAATCCCAGGACTCTGTTATTAGGACCTGAGCTGAAGGCAGATGCTTAACTGACTGAGCCACTCAGGCACCTCTAAATGTAGTCCATTTATTCAGCCAACTCTAAGCCTATTTGAACATTTACTTAATTTCTCACATCTTCTGTTTACCAAACTGACAATGAGAAATTCTCAACTGTCTCCCAATATTAAACTCCTAACCCCAACCCTGGGGCTTTAGAATCAGACTGATCTAGGTTAGAACCATCATCTTGTCCCTTACTGGCTTTTAACCTTGGACAAATTACTCAGGTAACCTGAGTCTCAAGACCCACTTCGTGGGGTTATTATGAGTGTTGAATAATACTGGATAGTACCCAGCTTACCATTTGGCATTCAGTGGGATTTTTTTTTAAGTCTTTGTAATACAGAGGAACCATTTTTCTAACAGGTATTTGTATGAAGAGTATGTTCAAAGCAATGTGGAGAATACAAAGATGAGAAAGACATGCAGCCTGCTCTTATGGAGTAATCACCTCTGGTTTTGAATAAACACTTAGTATAAACTAGAAAAATGGTAAGTGGCTGTGGGAGAAGGCCACATAAAGGGCTGTGGGGTTTAGAGAAGGAAGACAATATATACAATATCATGAAATCCCAGAGATTAGAGGAGTACGCGGAAATAAAACATGGTCTTTGATGTTGTGATTATTAACCCAGACCATGGCGATGTGTACCTAAGAGGTGGATATTGCCCATCCTGAGCTGCATCTATTGATACTCAAAAGATAATGGATCCTGACATGATTCACTGAGAAGAGCATATCATCACTTCTGAAGTATTCGTGCCAAAATGCATACCTTTGATTTAGTCACAAGAAAACATCAGACAAACCAAACTGAGAGTCCACAAAATAACTACCAACGTTGGTTCCTGGATTGGATCCTTAGGCAGAAAAAGGACAATAGTGGAACAATGGGCAAAATTTGAATAAAATTTGACCTCTAGATTACTGGTAAAGTCTCAGTGTTAATCTCATTTTGCTTAATTGTATTATGGTTGTAGAAGATGTTAACATATAGAAGGCATATAAGGTCAAGTTTACTGGAAGTCTTTTTAGTATTTCATAATATTTTTTACAAGCTTGAATTTATTTCAAAATAAATTTAAAAAGAACAGCAAGGTAATTCATCCTCATAGTATAAATCCTTTGCAGATTCACATAGCTCAAGTAAAGATCTGTTTTAGATTTATACAGGAGGATTAAGAGAAGCTGAGCAGTCACAGCAAAGCTATTCCTAAATTAAAAATTTTTGACAGGTTTCATTTGACCCACGACCAGAAAAATAAAATGATGCACATAAAAACCAAAGAGATCCAAATAATGTTCTCAGAATTTGTAGTATTCCAGTTTAGAACAGGTTTTACCGGCCAAGACAAACTATCCCCTCCTTCTCCCCATCCCATGATGTGTATTAAAATTAGAGCATTCCATGGCAATGAGGATTGACCTTTAAATTCTGCTTCAAAAATGTTTTGCTAGCTATTATTTGATTGGATAGGGTAGCTAGTTTAAAGATTTGGGGGGGGGGTTTATTTTAAAGGGCCAGATTTGTATTTTCTAGTATCTGTTAACTATTTAAGATTACTTGTATTACTTAATGAAGACCTTAGGTTCAGATGATTGATTTAATCATACTCAGTTTATGAGGATATTATCATTGGTCTTGGGCAAAGCTTCTCTTTTGTTATTTATTCCACTTTATCCCTGTACCCTACTCCCATTTCTTCTTCATTCATTCCATAGGCAGTCATTCTGGTATATTTAATTTGTATCTTTTGCTTCTAAATGTTCCTTTAAAACTTCATTTTATGTTCCTATATTTTTAAGGACTCATAAATCTCATTCTGTTTGTTTGTTTTATGTTCCTATATTTTTAGGACCCTTCTAAATCTCATTCTGTTTCTTACTTTTTCACTTAGCATTTTGTTGTTAAAATACATTCGTGTTGTTATGTGTGTGTCTAATCCTTGGCCACCTTCTCCATGGCATGTCCTTTGCACATCTCATTTACAACAGTCCCAAAGATGTACCCCCAGGAAGCCCCCGGTTCTCACCATCACAAGAACACCACAGTGAGTATGTTATAAAGGCTCTCTTAGATGTCCATGTGGGAATTTCTTTAGGGATAGATGCCCAGGAGTGGAATTGCTGAGTCCTAGGACTTTGAGACCCTAATTTGGCTAGCTCCAGATTGCTCTCCAACCTGATGAGTTCCTGCCCTCTGAACTTCCACTGGCCATCTGTGCGAGTGCCTATCTGGTCTCACTCCTACAGACATTTGGTGTTATCCCGCTTTCTCCTTTTTGCCAGTTGAATATGTATAAAGTGGGTACCCTGTTGTTTTGATTTGCTTTTATTGGATTACAGAGGATTTTCATATGCCTATTATGTTTTGGGGTTTCCTCTTCGAGGTTTATAACTCCTGTTTTTCTTTTGAGATTACCATAGTGATTTACTGATTTGTACAAATTCTTATGTTCTAGATATTAATTCCGTGTTCAGTTTGAGACATTGCAAATATGTTCTCCAGTTACATATTCATTGAACAGAAATTCTTAATGTAATCAAAATCATAATTTTTTTTTACCTTATAAGTTATGCTCTTGAAGTTTAAGAAAATCTTCCTCGCTACTTATCAGAAAAACAGTCTCTAGTTTCTCTTAATTGTATAATTACCTTTTACATTTCTGATAAAAACAGTTTCTATTCTCTGTTAATTATGGAACTACCTTTTACATTTAGTTTTTATCCATCTTGAAACCTCCGTTATTGTTGATGAGGACCGAGTTTTATTTTTCTCCAACACCATGTATTAAGCAATGGGTCTTTCCCCCATTGCTTTGTGATGTCACCTTTGTCATTTTAAGTTCCCAGACATCATCAGAATGGCTTTGAACTCTATTCTGTTGCATTAGTTTGTCCTTTTTCAAGAGATATCTGGTGTTTGTTTTTTCCTAACTAATGGATTCTTTTAGAATGTATTTTCCTTATTAAAGATCCTGTTTCTTCTCAAGGAACTAGTTTATGCATGTATTAAACCAGAATAGCCTCCTTGCTCTCACTGTTTAGCAGCATTTCAGCCCACAGTGATCTTGTCCTCTGAACTCGCAGTACTCCTCTTCTGTTACACTCACTTCACTTCTGTTAAAATTTTACATTAACTTTTAATATAAAAAATGTTATTTATTTGAGGGAGAGAGAGCACGAGTGGGCAGGGGCGGGGGGAGTGGCAGAAGCAGACTCCCCACCAAGCAGGGAGCCCAACATGGGGTTTGATCCCAGGACCCCAAGATCATGACCTGAGCCAAAGGCAGCCGCTTAACTGAGCCACCCTCGCGCCCCCTTGTATTAACTTTTATTTCCTGTGTTACTGCTTAACTTTTCATATGCTTTCACATATTCCAACTAGATTATAAACTTCCAAAAGGCAAGGATTGCTTACACGTCTTTATACCTCCTATCGTAGTTGTAACTAACATAGGATCTGTAATACTGGACTTTTACATCAGTACTTTTGATTTGATGGATGTCTTTTTTTAAAGATTTTATTTATTTATTTGACAGAGACACAGTGAGAGAGGGAACACAAGCAGGGGGGAGTGGAGAGGGAGAAGCAGGCTTCCTGCTGAACAGGGAGCCCGATGTGGGACTCGATCCCAGGACCCTGGGACCATGACCTGAGCCGAATGCAGACGCTTAACAACTGAGCCACCCAGGCACCCGGATGTGTGTCTCCTTAAAAAAAACCATAAGCATATACAGGCAGGGACTGACTTACGAAGGACAGAGCACAAATATACGGTGTCGACATGCACTAATTGAATGTACCATATCTTCTGTGGCAGGATTTTTCCAACATTAGACTTTTTGTTATATCTCAATTTCTCCATATTAAAAAAGTTTTAATTTACCAATTCTTTTTTCTCCCCCCCCCTTTATTTTTAGTAATTGCATTTTATTTAGTTTTCCTTAATGAACTGAGCGAAAAGCAGTTGTGGTAAATAAATCATGTGCAAGGGAGAACAATACATTATAATTAGGATTCCATTATCATTTAATTAGGCATTCCATTATTGAATTGGTGTCTCTGGCTTCTCCTGGTCTCTGACTAATCCTGAAACAAATTCTTCTTTGTGGGTAAATATTAGCCTGTAATAATTAGAGTATTCATCTAAGCTAAGGCTTTTCATTAAATCTCTTTCTGATTAAGATAGCTCCCCAAGTACAGACTGATTTAATGTGATTTATCCACTTGTGTATCAAGGTCTGGTGGAAACGGTTTTTAACACCAGAGGATTAAGAATATTAAGATCACCTTGATATTCACAGATCTCTCAAGTATTTAAGGCGTTGCTGTTTGAGTTGTTCTGTCCACCTAGGTCTGATGTCTCAGCTAATAAATTCTCGTGTGTCACAAGTGCTGTAATGGGCCACTACTGAAAATAGTACACTGATTCTATTGTGTATTAAAATATTGCACATAGACTTAGGACATTCTTGTGTTCTTAGGTTTGGGACTCAATTTTCATTCCAACTAGCTGGTTCGACATATCAAACGTGCCTTTTCAGTTTTACCAGAACTTCAGGGTTAACTAATAACTAGAAACAAGCAAACCATTGATAAATATGCTTAATGAAGGGCCTCCATGGACATGAATGCAACTTGTTTTGTATTAACTACTTGGACTCCTTATTGCTTCCTTGCCTTTTACCTTTCTTCAGCTTTTCCTCTATTTTCCAATGATGAATATTTAATAGATATTAAGTATTGAATTTAATTTTGTTTGGGTTTTTTTTACTTCTTTCTTAACCATTTTCCCCCATACTTTATTCAAGTCTAACCTCACCATTCACTCTTACACTTTTAGCCTTTTTCTTCTGATCCCTTTGTCTAACTTATTTTTATTTTTGTTTAGTCCTTCCTCCTTCCCTGCTGTGTGAACAGGAAGAAGTCTGCACCGTTGTCTGCATGTGAATAGACTACAGCTATAGTAACTAATCAGAGGGAGCCAAAGCATAGATTCTAATTTGTTGCAGTCAAAAAAAATCCTGAAAATATGGTCTTTTTTGGTTATCAAGAAAGTCCATTATGAAACAAACTAAATGATGTGTTCTGATCACAATTTTGCTCCAGTTTTTGGAAATCCTGGGGTTGGGGGGCAGAGAGAGAGAGAAAATATGTGTGTGTACATAATTATCAGTGGAGGGGGAGGAGGAATGCCATGAAAGGAAAAGAAAGGCATTCCACATCTTGAACTTTCTGAGGTCCCATTTCCAGCCTGTCCCTCAGCCCTCAGTATCCTGAGAATAGCTGATTCTTCCCTTCCCCCTCCCCTCACTCTGCCCCCATTGAGCTCTTCGCCCATTTGAAAACAGTGACAAGGAGGAACCTGAGTCAGTAGGGCAAAGGATGATGGGAGGTGCTTTGGAGTCAGGACTGAAGCTGAGGGGTCTCAGACCAAGTCTGGCTAAGATTCTTCACAGGTCTGGGCATGGTTTGAACAGCTGAGCTGCTCAGCAGCAGCAAAGGGGCCACCTTGTCTGAGTCAGCAGAGGGAGGTGGTTGATGAACCGGTTAGCAGACCACATGAACCAATAGAATGATAAACTGTAACTGCTGAAATACTCTGGTCATTTGCAAAGAACCCCCCGCCTCCATCCTGGAACCAAAGTAGAAACAGAGCATCGTGTAAGTAAGGCAGCAAGTACTAGTTAAGAAGAACGTCTGCACTGATAGAATTGCCGGCTCTCAGAGTTTTCAAGCTAGTGGGAACCCCATGTGTCTCACGGACAGAAAGAAAAACAGCACAGTAGAGAATTACAAGGCTTTCTTTGAGGAGGTTGGTTCTTCTATTTCAAGACCTATTTTTGAGAATTGATTAGGAAACAAATACTTCTACGATAATAACCTCATTTAATGAAGAGACTGCATTCCAGCATGCTCAACGAGGGGTCTTTTGTTATTAGGGAGAAATGATACAGAAAGCACTCAGCAGTGCATTCCGAATTTCAGGAAAAGAATTTCAGTTTAAAAACAGCAACTGAGCCACCCAGGAGCCCTGAAAAGCCTGCCATTTTCAGTGGGGTACTTGGGCCTCCCTGAAAAGGTGAATTTGACAGAAGAACATCTCTGGTACAGGAACAGCACAGGTCTTGAGATGGGAATGTGCCTGGTGTGTTCAAACAAGGACACAAAACTCCGTGTGGCTAGAGCAGAGGGAGGTAGGTACATTGTCATAGAAAAGGAGGGGCAGAAAGGTAACAGGTGACCAGGGAGTGTACAGCTTGGTGGAGCATCGAGCATGGTAAGGACTTTGGCATTCTCTCTGGGTGAGGTGGTCAGCCTTTGGGGTGAGGGGATGAAGGGGGTTGTAATGCAGTGATAACATTATAAAAGGATTACTCTGTTTTCCACTATTATATTGAAAAAGTCTGTAGAGGGGAGAGTGGGCCAACAGGGAAACAATTAGAAGGGTTTTTGCAATAAGCCAGGTGAGAGAGGGGGTGGCTTGAGGTCAAGTTGGTAAGGTGTTAAGAATTGGCTGAATCCTGGGTATATTTTAAGGTAGAACCAACAGGACTCTCTGATGGATTGGATGTGGAGCTTAAGGGAGGAAACAAGGATGACTGCAGGGTTATTGACCTGAACTGGAGGAAGGACAGCTTTGCCCTTGAGGCAAAGACTGTGGGAAGCACAGTCTTATGTGCAAGTAGGTGGGTAGATGGAGTGGTAAGAGCCTGTAGAAGTTTCTTAATTATTTTCTCAGAGAAATAGGATGAGAATGAGAGATGGTGAGGAAGTAATGGAGGTTTGAGAGAAAAGCTAAGGCTTTTCTTCAAATCTGGGCAGATAGAACACAGAACGGTCTACGGAAACATGTGTGATTGCCAAGCAGTACTGGGGGCCCACTTCTGGCCAGTCATCAGTAATCTACCAAGGACTTCCTTCCACTAGTCTCCATTCCCAGCCAAAAAATCAAATAAAGTATGCCCCCCGAAACATGGACCTAATAGGCTCAAGTGAATTTCTGGGCGAAGGGGGAGGCAGCAAACTCAAAAACCTTCAGCAGCCAGAGGGGTTACAGAAATGGGTGAAGTGAAAGGAGATAAAACTTTAGGAACTGGGCGCCCCAGTTCCGTTTCACTTATTTGCTTTGTGGAGGTACAGTGGAGAATTTTTACCAGGGAAAGAATGGTAAATTAGGTATCAGGGGCACAAAATCAGATTACTTTCTGGCTAGGTCGTAAGCCTAAGTGAATGGTTAGGACTTCTTAAAATCTACTCATAAAAAAATACAATCCGTCATTGATCACTGTGTAAAGGACTGAAAGGAGACTTTCCCTGTGTAGTAGAGGGAAGGGCACTAGTTACAGAGCAGGAGGCATCTTCGCAGTCTGCCCAGCCTCATCCACAGCCACCCTGCAAGAGTCCTTGAAGCTGTGCGGGGTCATCTGGACACAGGTGTTACACCGTGTGCACAGCCAAGAGAACGCGGCTACTGAGTTGCTGTGGGATGTGAAGGGACTGTTGTTCTGGGTGGTGGAGGAGGGAGTATTTCGGGGGGGTGGTTACAGGGGGTGTGTTAAACTAGTTCCCAAATGTTTTATAAGTTTCTATGTCATAGTATTAAAAGCAGAAGTATATCCTCCAAAATCTGAGCTGTTAAGCAGATTGGATGCTATACTGTTACTATAATATTGAAGGGTACAAGGATGTGTGTGTGTGTGTGTGTGTTTCATTTGATAAACCTGCTGTTGTGGCAATCTAATGAATTAGAGATATCTGCTTCTAAAATATTGATCTCAAGACACATTGTCTTCGTCTGTTATCTTTTTTTTTCTTTGTCAATCCTAATTGAATTATCTGTGACTTTTTCAGAGGCATGTTGATTTGATCTTTTTCCTTTCTAGATAGCAGCAAGAAAACATGTTAGGTATTATTTGTGGACTGGAAAGAAATTAGGGTGGTAGAAATTTTAAAATGTCAGGTTGCACTTAGAGTAATCTTTTAATTAGGAAATTATATCTTGTATTAGCCAGGAAAGGAAAAAATGGTACAAAACAATAATGCAAAGCATATGGATAGGTTAATGTTCATTTGAATGAATAGGAAAATGTTCTGCTTCCAACCAAATGCTAATACAAAAAAAAAAAATCATTAAAAATTAGTGCATAAGTTTTGGCCAAGTTTCAAACTTTAAATACTTTGTTTTCTGACATTTTGGTTAGACTCCAACTAGCCTAAGTAAAGCTCTGTTTAGACTTTATTTAGACTAATATTACAAATTTATGATATATTATCACTTCAAGTATTTTTTAGGGCACATATTTGAGAAGCTTTAAAAAAACAACAGCTTTTAGAGGTACAATTTACTTGCTGTAAAATGGCAAGTACATTTTAAGCGTACAATTAGATGCATTAGATAAATGTAGAGTCTCACATAACTACCATTATAGTCAAATTTTAGAACATTCCATCACCCCAAAAAGTTCTTTCATATGCCCTCCCCCCCTTAACAGTCAGACATCTCCCCTGAACCCCAGTTGCTGGAAACTGCTTATCTGCTTTCTGTCACTGGTTTTGCCTTTTCTAGATTTTTATATAAGTGGAATTAAGTAGTATGTAGTCTGTGTCTGGCTTCTTTCACTCAGCATTTATCAGTTTACTCCTTTTTATGGCTGAGTGGTATTTTGCTATATGGAATATACCACAATTTGTTTACCCATTCATGGACTGACAGACATTTGGGTTCCTTCCACTTTTAGAATATTATGTATAAAATTGCTATGAACATTTGTGTATAAGAATTTGTGTGGGCTTATGTTTCCTTGGGTAGAAACCTAGGAGTGTGATTGTTAGGCCACTGCCAAACTGTCTTCCAAAGTGGCTGTGCTCTAGAACCAGAGAGTTCCAGTTGTTTGGCACCCTCACCAAAACCTCACCAAAAAAGCCTTTTTAATTCTGGCCATTCTAATAAACGTGCAGTGGTGTCTTATTGTGGTTTTAGTTTGTATTTCCCTAATAACTAAAGATGTTTAAGTAGCTTTTCTTGGACTTATTTGCCTTTCATGTGTCTTCTTTGGAGAGCTGTCAAATCCAGTCTTTTTACCCATTCTTAAAAACCAGATTGTCTTCTTGTTGAGTTGTAAGAGTTCTTCATATATTTTGATTATAAGTCCTTTCTCAAAGAGATTGGGAGAAAAATATCTGCAAACTATATGTGACTTGCCTTTTCATTTTCTTAAGGTTGTCTTATGGAGGGCCGAAGTGTATAATTTTGATGAAGTACAGTTTCTCCATTTTTAAATTTTGGGTTTTTGTGGGTTTTTTTTAATCCTAAAATTGTTGTGTTGCCTACCCCAAGTCAGTGATTTTCTATGTTTTCTTACAGAAATTTTATAGTTTTAGCTTTTACACTTAGGCCTATGATGCATTTTGAGTTACTTTTTAGGTATGGTGTCAGGTAAGCATCAGATTTGTTTGCCTTTGCGCATAGATACCACTGTTCCAGCACCATTTGTTGAAAAGACCATCTTTTCCCCCACTGAGTCATCCATACAACTTTGTTGAAAATGAAATTGACAGTGTAAGTGTGACTCTGTTCCTGGACTCTGCGCTCTTGCACTGATCTGTCCATCTAACCCTCTTCCAGTACCTCACCAAACCGTTACGGTCGAGTCCCGACATCAGTTAGTGGAAGGCTCCAGCTTTGTTCTTTTTCACAATTTTTTTCTAGTTCTTTTGCATATCTTTATAATATTTAGAATCAATTGTTGCATGCTAGGCATTTTAATTAAGATTGCTTTGAATCTATAGGTCAGTTTGGAGGAGAAACATTAACAACATTGAATCTTCAATCTGTGAACATGGTATATCTCTCCAATTACTTAGGTCTTTTTAACTTCTATTAGCAATGTTTTATAGTTTGCAGTCTTGCACCTATTTTGTTAAGTTTACTTCTAGGTGTTTCATATTTTTGATATTATAAATGACAGTCTTTATAATTTGAATTTCTAATAGTTCATTGCCAGTATGAACAAATAATTTTTTATATTGAACTTGTATCCTGCCACTTTGCTAAATCCACTTATTCCAGTAGCTTTTTTGTAGAATCCTAAAGATACTCTGCAGTCTTTTATATTGCCTATAGAGTTTTACTTAGTGTTATTTTAGGTATGTGCAATTGAGAGACCAGGAATATTCTAATAATTTGGGTTGATTTTTCAGACACCTCTCCCTACCTAACCCCTTGTTGAGCCTCTTTGTGCTGGTGAGCTTCTAGCTAGGTCTAGGAAAACAGGTGAGAACCACTGGTTTTTATCATACGTTAAAACTTTAGGTCTTTACATACTACTTATAAACACTGGAATGCAAAAAAGCCAGACCCCACTATTAAGTATAGCCTCAGCTGAGTGAATACCGGTGTTGGAAAGTGGTAACCTGTCTAGCACATGGCTCTAAGACTCGGGTCACAGCTTTCTCCTTAGCCTGAGGGTGCAGACCAGCAGAAGTTCAGCGCCCCGTGCCATAATCAGGAAACCTCTATTAGGCCTCTGCATTCTCAAGTTCAGCAGCACCCCCTAGCCCCCATTATCCCACTGCTGCAGATTTCTACAAATAGGAAACTTAGATGTTCTACTAATGAAAAGGACTTTTCTCACGCACCTCTTTAAAAAATTCCTGTTCTTTTCCTGGTATGTGAAGGTATTGGGATTGACTGAGAAACTCGGCTGAATTAGAGTTCAGGCAGGCAACTCTCTCCAGTCCAGCCAGGTTCATAACTTCCTGACTGGGTCAACTGCAGTGAGAAAGGATTTTCTGTGGTAAATTTAGGAGCCACCAGAGTTTTCAGGCAAAATTGCAATGTTGGGCAGAGCTGGTCTTTGCCTTCTTCCCTTTAAAATTCTTTCTGCCCAGTCCCAGTCATTTTGTGCCCTCTCACTGTCCCCTAATCAAGCAAGATCTTTCTCCAGTGCCCCAAAGGAAGAATAAACTCTTTTCAGTACCCTAATTAAATCTCCTATGGTGACACAACTTAAGGCAGTTACTGTTATAAGTCACTGTGTAATGTGAATTAGAGTAAACTGTTTCATCTTAAATTTAAAAATAACTGTAATAGACAACATTCACTGATCACTAAGGATGACCTCAAATAATCCTCCCAGAGGTAGTGTAGGTTTCAAAGGCCACACCTTTAACAAGGAGTGTAATTAGACAAAGAACCCACAGTCTTATCTGATTCTAGAACCCAGCTCTTAAATATAATTCCCCATGGCCTCCTCTGCTTAGAACCATCCCTATAACCCAGTGTTTTCCAGAGTGTGGTCCTCCAACCCTCTCCATCAGGTCAGACTCCTGGGGTGCCTGTTAAAATGTGGATTTCTTCATCTCACCCATACATGCTAAATGAGAATCTTTGGGAATGAAGCCCAGGACTCTTCATTTTCACCTAGTTTCCCAGGTGATTCTTAGACCACTGAAGGTGGAGAACCACCCTCGACTAAGGAATGCATCTCTGCAGTTTGTAAGAACTGCCATAAAATTTTAACTCTGCATTCTCCATATGAACCTGCAGTCAACCTATTCAGATAAATTTGGAAAATAAAGTCTTCCTTTTCTGTCCAGCTGTTTCTAACAGTTAGGTGACTTTGCTCTTTATTCTCAAAATGCTACTTCATAACTCAGAACGCAAATGAAACTTTAGAGAAAAACTTTTTCTTCCCCAAAATGAAGACTTAAAGAAAAGAAAAAGAAAGAAAAAACAAGGGCACCTAGCTGGCTCAGGCAGAGGAGCATATGACTCTTGATCTGGGGTCACTGGGTATAGAGATTACTTAAATAAAAATAAAACTTTTAAATGAAAAAAATAACCCTTGACATTTGATATTTCTTAATGTATACTATGTTAGTTTCCTAGGCTGCCATTAATAAAATCACCACAAACTTGGTGGCTTAAAAAAAACCCTGAAACTTTATTGTCTCACAGTTCTGGAGGCCAGAAGCCCGGAATCAAATGCTGGCAGGGCCACCCCTCTCCCAGAGCTCCATAGGAGAATTCTTCCTTCCATCTGCCAACTTTCTTCACGC